CCAGGAGAGGTCTGCCACGCCATGTGGTCACCTCCGGGGCAGGTGGGAATCGAACTCATGAGGAAGCGGCTTTAGATTCTCAGTGCTGTGCTTCAACCCGCTGCGCCACCAGGGAGGGCCCAAAAATACCTTTATTTTTAGTCAGTTCTCTAGCTCATATTTCTTGTTTGCTAAATGATTTGGTATATTACTCATTTTGGATAGAGAACTTAGTATTTTTAAAAATTTATTTTTAGTTTTCTTTTTTTCTGTAACATACACTTTATGTGTTTTCACTCTTAAAAAAAAAAAGACACCTGTTATTTTTAGGCATCAAGTTTTACAACTCACAGGATAAGGAACAATTCAGAATATATGCTTTTAACAGTTTAATATATGCTCCACTACTGTGGAGATAGATTGAGCGCTTGAAATTGAAAAGTAATTGAGTTGCAGTTTGGAAATGTCTTCTTGGAGCTTTAAAACATATTTTTCAAACTACAGAGCTTTAAAGAAGAGGATAGTCATACTTTAGAGTAGATAAACAAATGCAAAAAAATCTCAAAACACAAGACTGAAATTTTGAAAGAGAAAAATAAAGAAGGCCCTCTCTGGTGGCGCAAAAGGTTAAAACAAGGCACTGTGAGCTGCCCACAGCCCCTGCAGTGTTTATGAATTAGATCCCCCACCAGGGAGGTAGCCCACGTGGCTGGGCAGACCTCTCCTGACCTGCCTGCTGCACCCCTCAGCAGTGTGTTTTAGTAGATCCTTCTGTTCTGCTCCCCACTTTGTGTCTGGTGAATCTTTTACCCCCGCACCTTTGGCCTGTACCCCCATTCTTGTGTGCACAAATAAATAAATCTTAAAAAAAAAGAAAAAGAGAAGGAACTAGTGTAAATAAAATTTGATCAAATCAACAATTATTGGAAGGAAAAGGAAGTAATAATTTAAGATACATGTTCATCCACTAAATGTAAACTGAAGGAAATAATCCATTACAAGAATGAGATTACATAAGATAAACAGGTACATTCTAGAGGAGTCCTCAACTCAGCCATTTTTTTAAGATCCCTGGTTCCTTTTAGATGAAGAATGATGATCAGAAACAATATATATGCATTGCTATGGGATTGTATTACTACTAATTTTCAGGGAACCAAGGTAAGAAGTAACTGTGCACACGCACACACTGCCCTACTACTCTATTAAAGTGCACTGTGTTTTTGTTTTTGTTTTTAAAGATTTATTTATTTATGAATACAGAACTGGGGTACAGGCCAGAGATGTGGAGGGTGAAAAGATTTACCAGAGACAGAGTGGGGTGCAGAACAGGCAGATCAACGAAGTACGCTGCTGAGGGGAGCAGCGGGCAGGTCAGGAGAGGTCTGCCACGCCATGTGGTCACCTCCGGGGCAGGGATCGAACTCATGTGGAAGGGGCTTTAGCTTCTTAGTGCAGTGCTTTAACCCACTGAGCTACAAGGGAGAGCCCCATTGTGTTTTTTTTAATACTCCTCTCCTGCTTCTCTGACATGGAGAAATTATTTTGGTTATCTGGTTCCTATTATTCTCATTATTCTTGATGTACTTACTTATTTGGTCAGTCCTTTGTATATTCAAACTCCTTGCTGGCCCATTTGAAAAGTAAACTTCAGTACACCCTTTTCTACCAGAGCTGTTCAAAAGATTGGCCCCAGGCCACCACTCCTTCCCCCCACCAAGGAGCAAGAACTGAAAAGTGAAGCCCAATAAAAGAGAAAGAGCAAGGAGCTGTTACTGTGTTTAAATAGATAAAAATCAGTACTGATAAAAAGTAGAATGAATAAAGTGTTTTTGAAAATAACCTAGATGATTTGAAAAAGAGCTTAGTGGAATTTCTAGAAGAGGAAAAAAAAGTCAAAATTAAAATTTTCAGTGGTTGGATTTAAATAACGTGGACATACCTGAGTAAATGAGAGAAGATTGACAGATTGTCCGTAGTGCAGCAGGAAAGAGGGAAAATATGAGAGATCGCTTACCAATCTCAAGAGGACAGAACAAGAAAGGGATCACGAACATTTATTCTTATTTTTGGAAGAAGACTAGAAAAAAGGCAGATTCAGTATCTTAGTATAAATGGCTGACAGCTTTCCAGAAATGGATACCAATTCACAGGTATCACAGGTATGAGTATTGCAAGCAGAAATAGAAAGGCATGTAATGTACCAATTGACTAATGGTTGTAAAATTGAGTAACAAAGAAAGAACTCAGACTATTCCTCCAGTAAAAGATTACCTCCAAGGGAGCACAATGGTTAGACTGGAACTAATTTCTCAATAGCAACCCAAAGAAACTAGAAAACAATGTTGAAAGAAATTAACTTCCACCTTTAATTCTAAAATTAGCAAGCATAGTTCTCAATAATATGGGTGAAATAAGACTTGTCAAAGAAGCAAGTATGAAAGAATTTGTCACTACTTTAGCAGGCCTTTACAAAGAAATTATAAAGAGGTCACTTACATAGTAGGAAGTCTAAGCCATAAGATGGAAATGAGTTGAAGAAGTGAGAAGGAACAGAGAAGGTGATTAATCTGGAAAAGTATAAAGGGCAGAAATAGAGTTGGGGTATTTTGATGAGTAGTTGTGACTTACAGGTAGCTTTAAAGAATTTCTATGTAATTGCCTCAGTTTTTCTAGTGTTTCAATCAGGCTTGAATATTTTGAATTTCTAGATTTTGAAACACTCATATTCACTATAAGTATAAAATGCATTGTCTTTCTAAATAGTTGCACTTCCCTGTTACTTTGAATTATTATATCTTTTTTATTTTCCATTCAAGAGCAATGAACAAATATATTATTAATAGCATGTTATACACTTTCCCTTCTTGTATTTGTCTTGAAAAATACCAAAATGTTGATAGGCTAACAAAATAAATTCCTTTCAAAATTACTTTGATATTTGTCATACTTTAGAATTTCTCTCATATCACTAAAGAAGGGAATAATTTGTGGGAAGACAATCCTGTGTTTTTTAAATGCTTAGTTTCACTGAGTAGTAGGCTTATAACTGCTAGAAAGAAAAATGGGTTTTATTTAACCTTCATTCTGCTCTGCAGTGATTGTGTATATTTTACTCAGATCAGAATGATACTCTCTGTAAGCACTATGTATACATTGTAATAAATACATATGGTGTATTCATTTAGTCTTTCAATGATCAGAACAAATAGGAATGCTATTATATGGTATTTTTCACTCAGCAAAAAGAGTGCTCTTATTATCACCTCTGTTTTACAGCCCATTAAACGAAGACTTAAAGAAGCTATATACAGCCTAAGGCTTCTCAGTAGTTTCAAGAACAGTTTATGAGACCTTGCTACTAATTATTTTTATTTTACAGCTGTATTTTACCTGTAAAATAGACACAATAATACTTGAAACAAGAACTACTAGAATCATGGAATATCACATGATGAGTTTCCTTCTGACTTAATATTATTATTTTTTTCCTTTTAGGTTCACAATATTCTTGCAGAAATGGTGATGGGGGGAATGGTATTGGAGACCAACATGAATGAGATCGTTACGCAAATTGATGCACAGAATAAACTGGAGAAATCTGAGGTAAGAATGAAAGGTGCCCTAGTTAATGAAGGTAGTAAGCATGATTGTAAATTATGCATGATTTGTAGCTTTCACTGTTTGTCCTTCAGTATCACCCTTTAGGTACAACTGGAATAATTTGTTTTTAAGAAATGATGATTTTATGATGTTGAATGTTCTGTGACTAATATTCACCAAATAGTTTTATGTATTCTTCCAGCCACATATGTAATTATCAACACATATAATTCCAAGTTTTTATTGCTTAAAACAAAATTTTTATTTAAAGAATGGAGTAATAGTTGCCTTATCAGGAAACCTTAAAACCCATTTTTAAAATGTATGTATTTAGTATTGTAAGACAATTTCTGGAAAAGGAAAGGGAGAAGAAGTAGGATTCTCTTGAGGGAGTAATATTTTAGTTCTATTTTAGGTGCTTAGCAAGCCTGAATGCATATTGAGAAAATACTTCATTACTTAATCTTTTCCTTTTGGATTCTTCCCAGAGGTCACTGGCAGTCAAATAAGTCACATATTTTTATAGCGATACATGTGTTTGTGGCTTTTATTGGTTTCTATGAGAGGGATTTTGTTCACTACATACAGCCAACTTTGTGCTGTTGGATTGGATGAATGAGAAACAACACAATAGCTTTGTGCTTCATAATTTTAGTGACTCTTCTTTCAAGTGTTAAGTTGAATAAATAAAATAACAGGTACTGTAGCTGGATCACTTAATTTCTCATTATTTTGGTTGTTTCTCATTATTACTATAGCAGAAGTTTAAGAAGTTTGATAGGTTACTCAGAACTACTTGTTTGAGGTACTTTACCTCTGGTATTTATAGTCATAACTCAGAAAAATAAAATTTATAATTATTAGCACACACTCAGGTGTTTCGTTGACTTACATAAATAATACTATAAATGTAACATGATATTAAAAATACACTAGCATTAATTTACAGCAGGTGAGTACTGAAAAATGTTTATTTTGTTGCCACTATTCAAGGGTCATTTTAACAAAATGCTATATGTTCAGTAGAATTGAACAGGAAACAGGATGGTGAAATCTGAGGATTAGGATCCATTTGAAACTTTGTATAACATTTTTCAGTATTCTGTTTGAATTTAAAAATAGTCCTACATTTCTCCTTATCTCAATTATCATTCTATTGGTTTCCCAAAGGAAAGGCTTGTTGTAATGGTGAGAAAGAGCTTACCATTGTATCTTAAGTAACTGTCTATTTTGTGAGTTTTCTAGCCAGTTTTTAAAACAAAACTTTTGAAAAGGGGGAAACTGAAACTATGTTGGTAGAGAAAATTTTGATTTAGATTAAGGAAAAGGACTCAGATTATTACTTAGCACTGTTGGTTTATAATGTTTAGTATGGTAAGAGATTGGCTATTAACTCTAAGCTTACAGTTTGTAAAGTCTTAAAAAGGAAAACTTGAAATTTATTTAATCTGTTAAATCTTTCTTTACAAAAACTGCACGGATAAAGAATTTAAATGCCAAGAGACAAAAAGTAACACAGACCACTAATAATCTAAAATGAATGAATGAGGTAATTTGTGAATTCTGTGTAGTCATCTGTAAAAATATATTGATCTCTTGTCTGGAATTTTAACATTTCCAGGTATTTAATGCTGTCCACTGGTGGTGTCCTTTTAAAAACTTTTTTGAATTCTTTTTGTCTTAGTTTGCTCTATATAATGACAGAAAGTCATAAGAAAGCTCATGTAATTATATAATGGATGGTTCTTTTTGATTATCCAGTAAAACTTTGTTAATCAGGCATTTTTCCTATCTTTTAAACGTGGTAAAGTATATAATTTACATTTTCATTGCAAATTGCTATAATACTGTAACACACACACACACACAAATCTTACACAGAAACAGTGCTATTTAAAATAGTTTAGAATATTGGTGTATACTTTCATCCATTATATTTTAACAGGTATACTCAATTATCTGCTACCAAATTAGATTTTTTTCTCCTCTACAAGAAAGTATGTTTTAAATATGATTAGAGACAAATCACAACATAGAAATGTTTTTCTACATGTGATACCTGCTAATATTTTACTTTTAGATGTGCTTTGAAGTTAAAGGCCATTGTAAGAAAATTGCATTGAAAATTACTTTGTTTTTCGTAATCTGTAATTTTTCAGTAATTTTCATATATTTTGAATATGTTTAGGAGGCCACCAGTTTTATTCCAGACACACTGAAATGTACATATTTTCATATGGGTTCCATTTCTTTGTTAATTAAACTGGTTAGATCTGCCAGATATGTGTCTGCAAAATAACCACAAAATTATTTGAGAGCAAAATGCAAACTTTTACTAATCTGACTCTTACCAGGTTTCAGTTAAAAGTTATTTTGTAAGCTAAAATTTACCAAGAAAGACTTGATTAAAAATGAGGAATTTCATGGTTAATCAAAAACTTGGTTATCATGTTTTAAAAATAAGTAGTATTTAGAATAACATTTATCTTTTGAAAATGAGCATGAATCTAGTTAATAGCTTTTACAATTTAACACGGGTTTCTTTAAGTTCCTTGACTTTATTATATTAGCTGAAAAAGAGTACATTTCCAGTTGCAGACTTAAATGAGCCAATTCAGTTCCTAGCACCTTTGCAAAGGGAGGCAAATATGCGGAATATATTTTCATCTGTCCTGCCTATTTTAATGGTTTACTGTGACATTGGGGTCTGGGGAAGGAGGGTTTAAGTTGGGAGGTTGGTGGGATTTCGGGGAAGTGTAAGAGGTGCCCTGGAATTCACCTAGCAATAAAAGGACTCCCTTGGGGTGGAGGTAGAGGGGTGGGGTTGGGGAGACTTTTAGCCTTTATGCATTTCATGGTTTTTTTTTTTTTAAAGATGGATAAATGGGTCTGAATTTAGTCACTACTTTTTTAAAAGCCAGTCCTCTTTTTTCCTGAACATCCTGATCTTTCTAGCTCTTTCCATTCTTCTCTCTTACAGACCTTTATCTTTCAATCTCCCAGACAGGACAGGTAGACAAGGTATTGATGACTTTGAGAAAAATGTACTTTTACAAAGGGAAAGCAAAATGATGTCAAAGGCAATTAATTATTTAGGCCAGACTCAAAAATTCTTTGTGTTAATGAACCCATACAGTCCCTGTAGCCTATTTTCCATTCTAGTTTCTTCTTGTAGTTTCTTCATCTTTTATTGGACTTAGTGTATTTTACTAGTATATCATTGATGTCATGTTTGTTCTGTTTTGTCTGCCTGCATTGTAGAAGGAAAGTTTAAATTTTTTTGTTTTCCTTTTAAACATTGTCATTTAACTTACAAATTATATTTGTAGAAATGACAATTTGTATCTTAGAAATTTGGAATTTATTTTGAGCATTTTATGGCAGAACCAATCTTAATTTAACTCTCACAGATTATCCCTCCTCCTCCATCTTTCTAAGTTAGGGTTCTAACATCAGTTTGCCTGCTGGGTTTTGGAAACTGAATTTAAAAACAAAAACAGAACCTTCAGAGTTTTGAATACAAAGTGGGAACCAGTAAAGGCTTAGAATAATGACTGTTAAACAGTACTTTTTTTTCCTTCACAATGGTTTTCAGTTCCAAAGTCTTAACAGAATTGCTTTTACAGTTTGACTAACTTGTTATTCCATAATAAAAATAGCCAACAAAAAATAAGATCAGAACTCTTCTAAAACTTGAATTAAATGCCATAACAATGGAATTAATAAAATGAATTTCTACTACAACAACCTTCTGACATCCAAACATCATAAGCCTTACAAAATATTGTAAACTCTGCAAAGCATATTGACAAATATTGAAAATGTTTTTTCAATAAATTCCCAGTTTTACAAAAACAAATTTTCTGGCATTTCCTTTGTATTTTTTCACACCATAAGTTGTAACTACTTTTTTAAACTGTAGATGGTCATGAACAATTTTTTTGTGCAAAATTATTTCAGCAAAGTTTATCATGTTTATAGGCTTACATTAAAAAAATTCAAAATGAAAGTGCTTTATTTATTGAGTCCCACAAAGGAAAAATATCTGTAAACCTAACAAGTTAGATTACCTTCCTTTCTAATTAGGAAAATGCCACTGAGACCTTTGACTTGATTTTTAACACTTAATAGTTTCTGGATGTTGTTGAGAAGTAGCAACATTCAAATGGTGTTTTAACTTAGTAGCCTAAGAGCTTGGGCTAGGTCATGAAGCCGGGTTACCACTGTTGATCACTGGCTCGTTATGTTTGGTTACCACTGTTGATCACTGGCTTGTTATGTTTTATCATTTGAACAGAGAACACATAATGTAGTTATTCAGCCCCATTGATCCAAAACACTTGCTAGTGTTTGAGTTCCTGACTTGATGTTAAACTGCCATGTTCTAGCAAAGGACCATTGACAATGTGGGTCTTATAATTTCTATTGCAAGAGCTCGTAGTTACCTATCTTTTGAAATCAAGCGCCTGTTTTCAACAAATAGAGAAAAAGTGGTCCAAAAATGCAGATTATTGGAAAGTTAGGTTGTGACTGGCTTTGTCCCTAAATTTTGACATACACAATTATTTTGTTTTGCAAAATTATGGAAAGAACCTGAGAGGCTACTTGTAATCATCAGAACTAGTTATATTAAATCCATTACTAGTCTTAGCCACATTTTTTCACATAGGCAGATCCTATGTCAGAAATTTTAACTGTAAGATTATTTAAAATGACTAGTTATTTGGAAACTTTGAAATTTTTAAACTGTAATTTTGATTTAAAATTTTAATAAAATGACACAGTTCTTGCTCTCTAGAGGATTGTATCCACATTTCTCATTTGTTTATAATTTTGATATTAAAGCACTGCCTTTAAAGCAAAGAGCAAGTGTAATACTAGTTTCCAGATTAAAAGTTACTGACCTTCAAATTCAAAAATAAAAATGTTGACATTTTCTATTTGGCTCAAAACAATGCTTTCAAAATCTGCCATTATTTTGTTAATGATTTTGAGTCTGAAACCATTTGCTACTGTGTTTATTAATGTTGATGTTCTTTCACTTTGCTGTTAGGTGAAAATTATGAACGTACATATAACAACCTCCAGCAGGAAGGGTGGGTAAAGGTTTTAGTATGTGCAGTTTCCAACTACCATCTCTTTATGCCATATATCAACCTTGAAAAAATATTTTAAGATGGTAGTATGGTATTTTATGTCTTAGATGAAATAAATAGCTACATTCTTTTCTGTTCCCTTCAAGTAAATTGCTTATTGCATGATGAAAAGGGGTCCATAGATTCTTAGAAATATATATATTTAGTAATGCTGCTTTTTCAGTTCTGCTTGCATACATTTTGTTTATTTTTGGGTCTGGCAATTTAAAAACAAAATCAAAAACAAATCATATCCATCCATTACTATCTTTGTGATTCAAGTGCTTGAAATTTCCAAGAGTATGTCTGTATAAGTCTTCTATCTGTTTGGCCTCATTTGGTATACTTGCAGACTTCATTTTGTTTTCTTTCTCTTAATTCTCTTAATTTAATCTCATGGGAGAGAAAACATGACCATTCTTTTATATACTGTACTTCATTCTTTCATCCAGTTCATACTCTTTAACTGCTTCAGATTCATATATTTGTTTTTGTTAGTGGAGTTGCTGCAGTATCAGCTATGGTGGTGCTTGAGTATAACATAGATGGAAACAAGTTATTTCTCTAGTAGGGTTTCATTCTATTTTTTGTTTTGTGTCAGTTGTGTAATCTCAACTCTTTAAGAACTATCTTGTGCTGTCAGAAATTCCTTATTTTTACCCTTTAAATTGTCCGTACTGCTAAGAACTCAAGTACTCCCTAATTCTGTAAATTTCAGTGTTCAAAAACTTGTGTTAGTAGAACTTATCTTGTTGTTTTGAGTATATATTACTGGAAAAAATTATAACTGAGGTGAAAATTACTTTATACCTTGGCGTTGGCAAACTGATTTCCTAATAGGAAATTACCTCTTTCACTCTCTATTCTTTAATAAAAATGCTATAGGCTTCACTTTCCTAGAAATCTGAAAGTGAAATTTGTCTTGTAGGTGTTCTACTGTTAGTTACCTGAGTAACTGTAAGTTTTTTTTGTTTAAGCCCAAAGTTTTTATGTAAACATTGATAGCTGATTTAAGCATCAACTTTTACTAATTAACAATGCTCATATTTTCTTTACATTTTATATTCTGGAATCTAATTTCTTCAAAATTTGGTTTACTTAAAACTTAATTGAACTAGTTTCCAATTTGTCTACTTTCTATCATTTAAATTCATGTTATGACATAAAAGTATTGAACATGCTTGAGAAATAATTTGATTCTCTTAATAATTCATTTGCGTGTTCTGAATAGTTACCATCCTTTGCATGTCTATGGCTTGCTGCTTATGTTTAGAAGAATTGTAGTTCATTGTACTTAGAAACTTTTTTTGGTTTTATGTAATACGAACTTGGCACATATACGCTCTTTATATCCACTGCTATATTGACTTTATGTATTCTCGTTAGCAGCCAGCAGTCGACACCATCTTTGGTCACAAATGACTTTTAACAGGATGCATTATAATGGTCATTTTCTTTGCTTAAGTTCACCTTACTATTCATTGTATAGGTTCTATGGAAAATATGTGTTTTGACAATGACATTTCATGCTGAAAAAATACTTTTACTATGTATGATCCAGTAAATATATTCATTCCCACACATACATGCTCTACCTACTCTTCTGTTCTCCATAGTAAAGTCCTTCAATAACTCATGACTTGTAAAATATTTATATTCAAGTATCTTATAAGTACTTTTGTATAGTCTATTCATTATTTGTAACCTGTTTAGAAATTCCAAGGTAAAAACACAGAAAGTTATTAACCTTTGAAGTAGAAAAATTACAGTCACCTACTTAGAAAAATGGATACCAGTTCCAGGATGTCTGTAATTTTGTAAAATAATTTTTATTTCCTTAGCAGACAACATACTTCCTGGTAAAAGGAAGAGCACCTACAAGATGGTAAAGCTCTGTGAACTGAATTCTTCTTTGATCAGAAACCATTGTAAATTTTGGTAGCTAGACATTGAATCTAAAATGATCATGTTAAAAATCATTTTGAATGTGATTCAGTCTACCCCAGTAATACTTGCTTTTATCTCCAGTAACTTTTGAGGAAGGGGGGAGGGAAGTGGGGTAAAATAAAACCTGCATTCCTTCAGGTAGGTACAAGTGTAGAGCTAAATCAAATTTTCAGTTATTCATCAAAGATAATTAACCTCCATTAAATTATGAAAATTGAATTTTCCTGCCCTTTTCAGTATTAAGTTGGGTATGGAGTTGTTCATCCATATCACCCTTATCATTGCCTCTGTGGACCCTATCGATTATTAATACTATTTGACTGATTTTTCTATTATTTCCAATTCTGAATTGATAACCCTTGGCTTTTATTTCATTGCTTAACAATGTTTGTATCCTTTATTCAGCCAATAGTTTACACTGGCCTATTTTGTATCAGTCAAGATTTTTCTCAGGTAACAGCTTTATTATTACTATTTTTTTAATTAACAGAAGAGGTAGGATTATATAAGAGAAAACTAAGATTATAAAAAGGGACTTTACAACTCTATTTCCTGTTCTACGTGGACATTGTCTCATATATGTAATCGAACAAAGGGGGAAGTTTGTTATTTAATTGTTTGCTTTTGTACAAAATTATGTATGCCACTGAACTCAGTGTTTGCTGGCTTTATTATAACATCTGCATAAAAACTGATGAAATCTAGTTGGTATATAAGTTAAACCTTAAAAATATGCAATTATAGATGTATCTGTAAGAAAAATATTTATGCATTTTTTATTTTAAGCATATTTTCTTACAAAGTTACTTTGCAGATTATAAATTTTCTTACTAGGATGAAAGCTAAATATTGTCCACTAGTCATTTTTACTGGAGTTAAAAAATTAATTCACTTCCGTATATTATCTGTTGCATTTCTGCTATTTTTGTAAATTTGCATACTGTAACCATAAGCGTGCATTTGTTGAGTCTGCTTTATATGACAAAATATTTTTAATCATTTCACTTTTACTAATCATCAAAGGGTTGTAGTCATCCTCTTGTAGTTTCCTTTTTAGCAAAACTATTTTCTGTGGATTGAGGCTTCACTTCAAAAGCCTAATTTTTTAGTGTTCTAGAACTTTCTGGAAAAACTTAGAAAAGCTTTTGCACCTTATAAATAAATAACAGCCTTTTTTTTTTGTTTTGAAATGTTTAAGAAAATAAACGTGATCTGCTACTTTCAGTTTTTATTTCATTGTACATCTTGATAATAAATGCCATTTTAAAAGCAAAAGTTCCCCAAATCTATCATAATTGTTGAGAAACTAATGTAAAATATGTTTCATGGTTGAAGGAAAATGTAGGTGAAAAGCTAGCTGTTTCCATTTGAATATTGTATGTAATCTTTAAGTAGTACAGGTTAATTTGTACTTAAATCTCGACATTGTTATCATTGCATGTATTCACTGTTTTCAATGTGTCAACTGTTTTCTCTTTATAGACTAGTATTTCATAGTACTCAGTCATCCCATACCAACATCTGGTCTCTCAACTTGTTATATGAAAATCTTTTATCACTGATCTCCATTGTAGGTGTTTTCCGATGCATTCTACCTGAGTTGTACATTTTTTTTTTCTTTTATCTGCTTCTGTATACAGGCTGGCTTAGCGGGAGCTCCAGCCCGTGCTGTATCAGCTGTAAAGAATATGAATCTTCCTGAAATCCCAAGAAATATTAACATTGGTGACATCAGTATAAAAGTGCCAAACCTGCCCTCTTTTAAATAAAAAAAAAATAAAGGCCACTCCCAGGTAAAATCCAGGGGGAAAGTCATCTAAGTTTACCATGCAGTTGTTTACCAAAAAATAGAGGAGGAGAGAATTAACTTTTGCTCTTGGATTTAAGTCAAGGTACTGTATAGATATTGTGTAAAATCAGTTTGGAAGATCAATGTTGGCTTTTCTTGCTCAGTGATTTTAAAGAAATTGAGTAGTTCTGGTATGGTCTTTTTTTTTTTTTTTCTTTTCTTTTCTAAATTGCATTCCTATGCCCACCTAAGGCATGCCTCTCCTCCAATGTATTGGCTATTACAGTATTTCAGATGTATTTGAGACATTTCTTAAATTATGTACAACCAAATATTGGTGTTTTGTATGAATCACAAGTGCAGCATTCCTTAATTCTTTCTGGTACTTGTCACAGTTGTTATTTAAAGAACCAAGTATGTATTGCATGAAAACATTATGACATTTTTCTTTTAGTTTAAATAAACTCCAAGGTAACTGGACTTCTAAGTACCGTTCTGTTCGCCTGATACCTACTTTAGCAATAATTTTTTTTAAGACCCTCTGATTCAACAAAGTAAATAAAAGTATATTTTATCACTGTTAAGTAGTTGTTAGTGTTGATTTATTTATTATTCAGAAACTCACTGAATTATTCAAAACTCACTTCACATTTGAAATGACATTCATTTTTATTATAATTCTACTTTATTATTATATGTTGTTTAATGTCTTTTGTGCTTACTTTATACATGAAACTATCATCGTATGTATGCATAGGAAAAACAAAGTATACATAGGGTTAAATACTTCTTCTATTTAAGAGATCTTAAAACATATCTCATGGATAAGAGGGTTCTTATCCTGTTAGTCAGGGTTTTCCAGAGATATGGAAACTGTGTGTGTGTGTGTGTGTGTGTGCGTGTATGCATGTATGTAGGGAGGGAAAGGAAGAGGGGAGAAAGATACTGAGAACTGATTTATTATAAGGAATTGGCTTATTTGGATATGGAGAACCAAGGAGATAATGAAGAATAATTAATTGATTAACAAATTAATTGTCATTTTGTAAATTTACTATTAAGTCCCAAGATCTGCAGGGTGAGTTGGTTAACTGCAGACCCAGGAGGACCGAGCTTACAGTTCTAATCTGAGTGTGAAGACCTGAAAACCAAGAACAGTGATGATGCAGTTCAAGGCTAAAGGCTTGAGACACAGGGTGAGCCAATATTCAAGTTTGAAGACAAGAAAAAGCCTGCCTTTCCTTTTTACAGACTGTCAAACCCACCTTCTTTGATGTTGCACCTTCTCCAAATTTCTGCTGTCCTTTCCTTCATTCCAGTCTGTAAATATGTATTAAACCTCAGCATTTTACTACAATGTTTCTTGAAAAAGTCATCCATGTCAGATGCCTTTATTTTCTATTTCCACATTTCTAGTTCTCTGTGAACTGCTAAATTACTAAAGACAGTTATTCTCAATCCCTTTATAGAATGTATAAATTGATTTCTTCCCCAAATTTTCTCTTCCATCAGCTTTTTAATATATCTCATATTCAATTGATTCTGTTTTCTCACAGCCCTTTTTCTGTGGCTTTGTTGATTGATTAAAAAGAACTGACCAGGGGGAATTCTCTTATTTGGAAGAAGGTTAACCTTTTTCTACGTTGGCCTTCGACTAACTGCATGAGGTTCATCCACATGAATGAGGGCAGTTTCCTTTCAACAGTTTACCAACATTTAAATGTTAATCTTTTTTGAAAAAGCCCTCACAGAAGTACCCTAGAAGTGTGGCTATAGCCAAATGCTTGTGGGTTAGTCATGTTGTCACATAAAAGTGAACCATCATGGTATGTTCCTAACTAGCTAAGAAAAAAAGGGACAGAAAGAATTTATTTTTGAAATGGAAAGATAATATGTTTTTAGAAATATATAGTGAGAGGGAAGAAATAGGGCAGAAGATAGGGATAGGAGCTAGACTTCTTAGAAAGTGCTTGGTTTTGGAACCATGTAAATGTTTTACATAATTTCTTTTTTTTAAGATTTATTTATTTATTTATGCATACAGAACTGGGGTACAGGCCAGAGGTACAGGGGCAGTGAGAGGCTTCACCAGAGACAGAGTGGGGAGCAAAACAGGCAGGTCAACAAAGTACTTCGGAGGGGAGCAGCGGGCGGGTCAGGAGAGGTCTGCCACGCCATGTGGGTCACCTCCGGGGCAGGCGGGGATCGAACTCATGCGGAAGTGGCTTTAGCTTCTTAGTGCTGTGCTTTAGTCACTGCGCCACCAGGTAGGGCCCCATAATTTCTAATGAAAATTAAATTTTTAAAAAGCAATGCCCAAAAATTGAAAGCAAAGTAAATAAATTGCAATTATTTGGCATAATCATCCAGAAATGAGCTGTTTCATATGACCTTAAGACACTTGACTATATACCATTAAAGACAAAATGACCTTCTCTGCACGCAAACAAAAAGGTATTCTTTGATCATTGTATAGGTAATATTTTTAAATATGTGGATGGTGGGGGAAAGTAAAGGACAGAGTACCTCGGTGCCTGTAATGGACACTCTTGGAGTGAAGCGCCCTTTTCCCTCAGCTGCTGGCAGGGTGCTCACTGAGAGTACTCAGTCAGTTGCTCTCTGAGAACTGCTGTCAGCTGAAGACAACTTCTCAACCTGAAGTCATTACTCCTCTCCAGGGCCACGCTACATCCAGGTTATAAAAGCCCAGCTCCATTGGCTAAGGCAAGGCAGCTTTGAAAGGCTCTCCTAGCTCCAGTGCTACTCTTGGAATCAACCAAGCCTTTTGTCGTGACTGTTTTGCAAGTTAATTTATCGATAACTGTTCTCTTAACCTCATCATACTTCCTGCAGGCCTTCACAAGCTTCAGTAGGCAGAAGATAGTCAGCCAGTAAGGGCATCACCCGATCTAATAAAATCAAAGGAAATCAAGAATGGATAGTCAGGCTGACAAGTCATGATTTCTTATCTACTGTTTGGGTTCAGAGCTTGTTCGCAGACTCAGAAACCACTGAGGGACACAGTGCTCAAATCTATAGGTGGAAGGACCTTTCAACACCTTAGTAGATTCATACGTCAATCATTTTTTTACCACTTCCCTGAATTTACTTTTTACCACTTCCCTGAATTTACTTTAGTAACTGTATCCTGGGAAATGGGTAATACCCAAAACATTGAGGATTATTGCCACAATTTCTAAGTGGACATTGATAGCTAGGCACTCATGCCCCCCTGCATACATTACATTGGAAACATACAGGATCTAAGCAATAAATTTAGCCTTGACTGAAGTCTTTACTTATAGTCCACTGGATCTAGTGATTCACCTAATGGTCATTTTCCCTGTCAGTAAATATATCTAATCGGCTTGGACACACTTAGTGTTTGGAAAAACCCTGTAGTAGAACATTCGTTCAGGGTGTTGGGGCTATTGTAGAAAAGGGGAGACTTAATAGAAGCTTTGAAGTTGTCCCTACACTCTCAGCCAAGAATTCAAGTAAACAGCAATATTGCATCTTGGGGAGAAGAGTGTCATATTTATAGACCTAAAAGGTTCAAAAGGTCCCAGTCATATAGTCGTGTAAGTGGCCAGTTCGCTGTAGCAGCTATGCCATATATGGTATCTTTGTTAGAGCAGATTTACAAGATCCCAGGGAGATGGTATGTGGCAATTGTGCTGGTGAACAGATTCTTTTCCATCCCTGTTAAGAGGGAGGCCTAGAAAGCTTCCCTTCTGGATACACAGGCGTGTGCTATTAATGTTCACTTGCCTCTCTTCAGCCATGATGGAATCTGAAGGAATCTGGATCATTTGAACCTCATTATGGGTCCACATATAGATAACATGTTACTTGGATGGTACTTTTATTGTGTTACTACATGAATGAGGATTTGCAGACAAATAGAAGTCCTTGGAAAGATTTATGCTCTCAATGAGCAGGAGATAAACCCTGTGAAGATCCAGAGGCCTGCATATCAGTGAAGTGAAAATTTTGGGGATCCAGTGACCTAGGCTATCCTGGTAAACCATCTAAAAGCAAACAACAGTATTGTATTTCACAACTTCACTAATCAGAGGCAAGTACAATGGTTGGTTGCCCCCAAGATCTTACAGGCAACATATGGCATACCAGGAGAACCACTGCAACCCATTTACACAAAGAGTTCCTAGCTTTGAGGGAGGCCCAGGACAGAAAAAGTATCTGCAATAAGTCCAAGAGGATCACTTGCTACAGTGCACTTAGACCGCAGTTCTGACAGCAATGACACTAGCACTGTTGTTAGTGATGGGAAAAGATGTGTGGTATTTGTGTGGTATGTATGACCTGCACCAGTTGAATTATAGCATAGACACCCTGTGAGTCTGCAAACAGAACATGGTAGCAGAAAGAGGAAATTATATACCACTTGAAAAATAGTTCCTTGGGTGGTGCTAATCCCTGAGTTAGAGAAGTATTTGATACAGAGTGTAGTTGGTATTTGTGAAACATAACAAAATTATAAGGATGGGTAAATTCAGCAGAAATCCATAAGAAGATGCAAGTAGAACATGAAAAAGATTGGGACCAGAGGGCATAGTTAGCTACACAAGCCCTGGTCCCTACCTCATTCTTTACCATTGATAACTGTGTCTCCTTCAGACCCTGGGACAGGATGATGATGAGTAATCCTTCCATTGAGCACCAGCTTTGGGTTGTATACACATATCCACACTGTATGAAGATAATAATGGCCCCAGGACACATAGGCAATAGGTACATAGGATTCATAGGCGGTAACTAATGGCTTGGCTATTCAAAGGCCTGGAAGAAGAAAAAAGATCTGGGGCAAGGAGGTCTGCAGAAGAGGTATGTGGATAGACCATGGGAAAGAACATTAATATATGATAACTTTTTAATTGTATCTGATCCATCAGAGATCATCTGTCACAGAAGAGACTATACTGCTCAATAAAATGATATACTGCAAAGTGTTCACTGTACCTCTGATACTGGCCATCACGGTATTGGCACAGGGGAACTGGAATGAAGTAGCCAGGACTGCAGGACACACATGAGCCCAACAGCACAGACTCTCTCATGTAGCTTGTAGCACATGTCCAGCAAAAGAAACCAATGCTGAGCCCTTGAGAAAGCATCTTCCCTTAAGGAAACCAGTCACTTGGTAACAAGTAACTGTGGACCATTTCCATCGTAGGGAAGAAAATTTACCCTAACTAGCATTGACAGACATTCTGAGTATAAACTTTTTGCATGGCTGTATGGTGTCAGACATCATCACCATCAGTGGATTTATAAACGGTTTGACGAATCTACATAGGATCCTCCATACATCTCAAAGGACCAAGGAATCCACTTCATAGCAAAGGAGGTGCAGCAGTGAAAACAACCATGAGATCAACTAAATGATCTTGTCATTGATTGCAGAGCTTAGCAACTACTGTGCTTATAGAACAATGGAATGGCCTTTTAAAGAAGACGCACATGAGGCATCAGCTTGGAGGTGATACCCTGCAAAGATGGGGCAACAGTTTCCCAGTTATACAACCTAAATTGACAGCCATTATATGGTGCTCTGTTCCCA